TAGTGATATGGTGTGGGCTTCTCTGTTCCATGTCACCTTCATCCCAAGTAGCCAACTGATGGGCCCTAGGTCAGAGATTTTAAAATGAGTGCTTATCTCCTGTTTGAATGAGTGAATTAATGATGGGGAACTGCCTGTTACAGTGCAGTCATCAATGTGCCTGGCAAGGATGAGGATTTCTGATCCTATGTGACTGTAGAATACTCCCCAGTCTGCATGTGCCCTGGTGAGTCCAAGATCTGCAAGAGTGGCACATAGCTTCTGGTACCATTGAATTGCACCTTGTTTCAAGCCATATAATGCAACATTTAGCTTCCCAACTGGACAGGAAAATTCTGCTCTACAGCATAGCCCTCAGGGAGCTCCATGTAGATGTCTTCACCATCTCTGAGTTTGCCATTTAGGAATGCCAAGTGGAAATCAAATACATTGATATCCCAGTCATTGCATGCAGAAATTGCTAGTATGGTGCAGAGAGATGCAAGTCTTGTGATGGGAACATATGTTTCATTGTAGTCAATGCCCTGTATCTGAGAGTGGCCCTTAGTGACTAGGTGGGCCTTGTACTTCTCAATTTCTCCAGTGGCATTGCATTTGACCTTGAAGACCCATTTGCATCCTATGATGTTTGCACCTTTGGGGCACTCAATGACATCCCAGGTATGCACTTCCTCTAGGCTCTTTAATTCTGCATTTATGGCATTTTGCCACTTTGGCCAGTCAGCTTGGGATTTCACCTCATGTACTGTGGATGGGTCCAGCCCTTCAGCTTCAGCCATCCCTGCCACCATAGCATACACCATGTTGGTGTCATCTTCATCAGCAGCTAGTTCATCATTGAATACATAGGTAGCATTTTCTTGAGATTTCAGGCTGTTTGGGTTGCTACCACTCTGTCAGAGTTCTTTTACAAAGTTGAGAGGGATGCATCCATCACAAGTGCCTTCACCTGCATGTAACCACCTCATATAGTCTGATTCAAAGCACTGGTGAGTGGAACAACATGGTTGAGGTGGAGGCATCTCAAAATTTTCTCTGAGTGGGTCCAAAATGAGTCTTGGAATTTCCAAAGTTGCTTTGGCAGGTTGCTTGACTGTCTGCATAGCCTCAAAACTTCCTTGTGAGGCTTTGGAATTTCCCTGCTCCCCCTCAAGCAGCACACCTGAAGGTACAGACACTTCCTGGTGCTTGAAAAGGACACTACATTCTATGCTGATTGCTCATGTGTCTGGACAGTAGATGCAGTGGCCATCACTCTCAGCATCAATTCCTACCCAGTGTCCATCTTGGGCTCACATGTCTAGTTTGGAGCCAGAGGTGTCATGGACCTTGACATGACATCCCCAGACCAGAATTTTTGAAAGGTCAGGTGGTCTTTGGTAGAGCATTTTGTAGGGAGTTTTTGTGCCTAGATGGCGAGTCAACAAGTGGTTTTTGAGCCAGATTACATGCATGATGGCCTCCCCCCAGAGGTCCTTGGGTAGGCTGCTGGTGTGAATCATTGCATGTATGCACTCAATGAGTGTTCTGTTGAGTTGTTCTGCAACTCTGTTGTGTTCAGGGGTATCATGGATGGTTATGCATCATTCTGTGCCTTGGGATTTCAGATATTCCAAAAATTCTGCACTAAGGTATTCTCCCCCATGATCCAAGCGAAGTTGCTTGACTTTGGTGTTAAACTGCATGTTCAGCCATGCTTCATAGGCCTTGTACAATGTGAAGGTCTTGGCTTTTGTCTTCTGGAGGTGCAGCTTGGTGTAGCAGGTGTGGTTGTCCATGAATGATGTGTAGTACTGACTGTGGCCAGGGGTTTGGACAAGAGAAGGTCCCCAAAGATCTATGTGGACCTCATCACCTAGATGTTCATGGCAGGGTGGGTTGTGCTCCTTCCCAATGGGCTTCTGAGTCACTTTGGCATATTCACATGAATTGCATGCACCCATGATAGAATGTGCTTCATCCAGCTTAATTCTGGCAATTGTGCCATCCTTGAGCATCTGCTGGATGGCTTCAGGAGCAATATGGCCAAGCCTGATGTGTATCTCCTCCATGGGTAAGGATTCCATGGCCTTGGCCAGGCCTGCAAAGGCAGAATGAGCTCATTTGAGGCAGTAGAGGCCTTTTTGCATCGGAATTTTGGCTACTTTCTTTTTCTGAGTGTCAAAAATATGACAATACTTGTCTCAGAATAATGCCACATACCCAGTGATGTCAAGTTTGCTAACAGAAATGAGCATAATTCCCATCTTGGGGGCATAGAGCACATCCTTGAGTCAAATGTGGGTTTATGCAGTGCCATTTGGGAGTGAGATTGCAAGGTCACCTTTTCCAATGGCATGGAAGTTGTGGATATTGGCCACAGTGATAGGTTTGGTTACAATTGTCTTGTAATCGAGGAATTTTCACCCACAAGGAGAGCATAGTCATAGGTGTTTGTATATGCTTCTTCTTCATCAGTAACAATATCCTGGGGGTTTGGAATTTCTTCCTCAGCAATTTCCATTAGCCAGTTGTTGTCCTGCAAGTGCACTAGCCAAACTCTGTTGGGTTCCAAGTCAGTGCTGGTCTGTGCACTCAAGCTGGCTGTTGCACTGGCTGCAGTGGCTGCTTTTCCAGAGCCTTTTTCCTTCTTTTTCCCTTTGCCTTTGTTCTGGAACCACTTGGGCACTTGTCCAGCTTTTCCACCACCCTCTTCCCAGCATTGGTCTTGCACATGACCTTTCTTTTCACAATTTTCACAAGTGGACTTCTTTCCATCCTTCACTGAATAGGCTGCATCTTTGGAATTTCTGGAGTTTCCAGAGTTGCCTCTCTTTGTCCACATTTGGCACCTATCATATTCATCAGAAATTACTTTGATTATAAAGTCCAGAGATAGGTCCTTCTGCATGACCAGGGCCAAAGACATCATAGCTGTGAGGTTGGAGTCATATGAAGCAGGAAGTGAACTGAGGATGATGGCTGCAAAGTTGTTGTCTGTGATAGACTGTCCAAGTGCAGCAAGTTGTTTGTGCAGTGTGTGCATCTTGTCAAAGTGAGCATGGATGTTGCCTTTTTCCACACAGTGGGATTCTTGGAGTTTTCTCTGAAGATTGATTGTGACAACACAAGAGCAGTTTTGGAAAAGGTCAGTGAGGACACCCCACACACTCTTTGCAGTCCCTTCCTTCAGAACTTGAAGGAATAGGGATTCTGGGAGTGACACAGTGATCAATTGCTTGACATATCCATCATCCTTTGCCCATTGCCACAGTTTTTCTGGGTATTCATTGACAAGTTTTTGCTCCGTGGCTGTGGGCTTCCAGGAGGAGTCTTTTCCCACTGAAGGGTCCTCTGGTTTCACATCCAAGCTGGTCAGGTGTCCAATCAGCCCTTTCAAACTGACAGCCCATTCAACCTGAGCCTTGTAGTATAGCCAGTTGCTTCCATCCACATTTAGGGTTGGGACTTGTAAGGAATGATTATCTTTTGCCATAGTGGGTATTCACTGCAGAAATGAAATTTTAGCAGGGGGCATAACCAGATTCTCCAAATGTAGATAATCTGACCTTGATTTTTTTTTGTAAGATATAGCTATTAGTCTGAGTAAAGTCCGACTCAACAATTTTTGAGTAACATATCCAAATAATCTGATGTAGGCAAGATCTGAATATAGGCAATACACCAATAGCCTGACCTCTCGTATGTGCATTTCGCCATCCTGACTATGCTCGACTCCATTGGCCATAGTCCAACTATAACACCATCGGAAGAGTGGCTCTTGCCACCCTTGCACCCCTCAGAAAAAATAATGGACTTTGCGAAAATTTTCCTTGGTCTCCAAGTTCACTGGTTCGCCATGTACACCATGAACCAACCCAAGGTATGTGGTACTCGAGTCCTCCAGCCTATCTACTCACCTCCAAAAGTTCCATATTGATGCTAACCAGATGGTTCCAACCTCACAAGCTGACGAAATCGAGTTTGTTGGTCCCCCGACAGTCATCAAACGTAGGCCACACATCCTACAACTTCATGTCCCAACCAGTGTCCAAAACGTTATGCTCTCTTTCGAGCCAAACTCCCAAGGCCCTGTGGTACGTGTGGCTAATTATTGTTCATGTGTCTTCCACTCATGGCCATACACCAGACCATAGAAATCTCCCTAACAATGATGTCACCAGAACTTGGCAATGATACCTTTCATGCAACTCAAGTGTGTGTTGTCGACTTCAGTGCTAACATTGGTACTGGTGGGGTTAAGTTGGGGTCTGCAGATGCCCATGTTGCAGCCATCTCAGTAAGTCATCACATAATTCATATCCTTGCTGATGGTATTACATAGGATCCTCTACTCGTCAACATCGAGCCACTTCCTGCCATGCAAGGATTGTTTGGATGTATTCCAGACCACCTCTTGCCTGCTGACAAAGGCCAGACAAACCCTGAGGGTGGTACTGCCCTGCCTATTGCGCCTCTCATCCCTGCCATTGATAATAGTGAAACTGAGCCTGAAAGTGTGGAGGGGACCCCAACTGCGGCTGCCAAGGTAAGTCATGACTCATGAACTGTTCTTTTTCTCGGTATTAACAACTCTTTCTAGAAGATTACTTCGGAAATACCAGTCTCGTCTCTTCCCACGCAAGTTTCTGGCCCCTCCATTAGGCATACTTTTACCCTGGACAGTTTTGCTGGATCGGAGATGTTTGATGAGTATGCAACTGTTGTGTGTAAGTAAACTTCGTCATTTCTGTTGTCATGTACTCATCATTATTCAGGAAAGATGGGCCCAAATTCAAGAGGGACTTATTGCTGGCCAGGAAAATAATAAAAGATGTCACATGCCCTTATTGTCTGAGTTCCCTCTGACTCTGTTGGTCACAGGTGAGCACACATGATTAATCCCAATCGCTATGAAGAATACCTTTTCATTATTAAAGGCACACTTGGCAACTTCTCTGATAAATCTAGCATTCACCTCGTCATCGATGTTGCCAAGCCAGTGTGGGCGCCAAATCTGTATGCCTTCATTTGTCACCTCGAAGGCTTGTTTGTTGTCAAGTGGCCTGATAGCAGTGAGGGCCGCAACACGATTCTGCTTTTTACCATCACAGTCAATTCTGCACAACTGGCAGAACAACGGTTGGAGAATAGACTCAAAATTAATGGTGCGAAGTGAGTACTGACATACAATTGCAAGAACAGAGCGCTGATACATACCTTGAGAGCTACATGATTGTTTGAACATGTCTTTGTTGCCCCTTTGTGACCTATGACTTTGCTTTGAAGCTCTGCAAGGACCTCCTCAACATCATTAAGATGAGAGACGATGGACTTGTTCTCTTCTCTGATATTGGTAAGTTTGTCCTCCAGGTTAGTGTTCACTTCACTGAGACATTTCAGATTGGCTGTTAGCTGGGCAACCATCATATGTAGACTCTGGTTGCTCGTGTGATCATAATTGGACTCTTCCATCAGGTAAGACGCACTTTGGGAGTGGGATGCTGAGTACAGAGTACTCTGATGATCTTCCAAAGGAGTTTCACTTCACCCTTGACCAACTGACTGACCATGGGAAGATGCACCAGCATATGAGAAGGACATATGGTTATGGGTGCCCTCACTGCTATGGTAAGTAAATTCGAGCAGTTGGTTTGACTGACCCCTCTTGTGGAACAAGCAAATCAATGGGACTTGTGGGATCCATTGTGTCATGGAGCTGATGCAGGAAGGAAAATTCTGGCAAAAAGAGCTTTAATCAAAGCATGAAGTGAGTGGAGTATAAATAAAGGCACGATTTGTACTGACTGATGGACCATCGTGGTCCCTTTGTTGAGCAGCAGGCCTGGATGCAAATGGATCGTCGAGTCTGCTGTATATAGATGGAAGGCCATGTTGGGAATGCCCCGAGGGCATCATTTGGGTCTGTGGTACATGAGAATGCCTGTGTGCAACACCCTCTTGACTCATCAAGGACTGCAATCCAGGCTGCGCACTGCCACTCATGTTTCTCTGTGGTCCGAGGCTGTGTTGGGAATGCCCCGAGGGCGTCATTTGGGTCTGTGGTACATGAGGACGCCTGCGTGTCACACCCTCTTGACTCATCGAGGACTGCAATCCAGGCTGCATGCTGCTGCTTGGTTGTCTCTGGGAATACATAGTACTGTACCACAGTACAAACACCAAGTACTCGCAAAGGAGGTGAGCGCAAGTAAGCACACAGGTGGGATGCTTTTTTTCGGGGGGTGCCAGGGGCAGGAAAGCATTTTCAAAGCAGTCATCATAGCGAGCATGCCGGATATAATCTGATGTTACTATTCTGAAAAGCACAACTGAAGTTGAGAGGATCATTGATATTAATACAATGCGACTCAATATCATAGTCTATAACCACACTTGAATCCGATCTGAATATTATCTGCATTGTCAGGATTACCATGGTGATAAGTTTGTGAATCGAGTTGGGACAATGCTTGGAAACAAGAACACTTAGCTACTATAGTCAAAGGTATTATTAACTTTGGCTTCCCTCGACATATAGCACAACTATTATTACTAACCTGACTATCCCCAAACCTGATTAAAAACCTGTTTCTGCAGTGATTGTTGCTGTGTAATAACTCTTTTGGAATTAGAGTGCAAGAGTGGGGCTCATAACCTAATGAAGTTATGAGTATCTACACTATGTCAGTACCAAGTAAATGAATGTAAGTATAAGTATGCTCACCTCAGTGTACAAAGAAGTCACTGAGGTGGAAAAGAATGGTGTGGAAAATTTATAGTACCATAATTAGTAAGCATAGTGACATTGGAATTTCATTCCAAGGGTTGGGGAGAAATTCTGAGCCCTCTGGGTGAGACTCCAAGAGGCTACTGTAATTCTGGAATGCATTCTTGACAGATCATACCCTTGTCAGGAGTGAGGATAACAATTTATATGACAACAACTTTGACTTTGACAACTCTGCCATCAGCAACATGACTGGAGATCCTTGCAGAGAATAGTTGAAGTCAGGGACTTCAATGCTTAGAAAGGGGGTAATGTTATGTTTCACCCCTGTTTTCCTTGCTTCACTGTATGTTTACCTTGTGTTCATTCTGATGGACTTTGTTCCTTTTTCAAGCCATCTTCTTTCTGATCTGATGGCTCTCTACTTCCACCACTAGCACTAGTGACTCGTAACATGCATAGGACATGTGTTGTCATTGTTCAACCAATGGTGTAGATAGCTTGTTACATGTGGATGCCTTGTAGTCTGTTCTCTTGTAGTATCTAGACTGCCAGCTCAAGTCTTGAAACCCCAGACTTGAGCTGCTCAATTATATGCAATGTTCTTCAGAACTTCACCCTCAGTGTCCCTAACCCAGACCACTCTTACCAGCATTGCTCAAATCCTCTGTCATTTACAGAGCTTACTGCAGCCATTGCTCAGTAGAAACCTTTAGTCTGCAACTGAGCTTGACCTACATCTCAACTTTGGTCAAGCATAACAACTTTTGTGCAGTCATTCCTGAAGGGGATGGCTCTAAAGTGGTTCGAACTGGACCTACTTGGGACTGAAGACCTGGAGGACCAGCCCTACTGGATGGACTTGTGGAAAGAGTTCATCATAGAACTTCAAACCACCTTTGGACCCCATGACCCAGTGGCTGATGCTGAAAGCCAGCTAGACCACCTCCAAATGAAAGATAATCACCAGGTCAACAAGTCCATGGTCAAGTTCAACTGGCTTGCCTCACAAGTCTGGGGATATGGTGATGGTGCTCTGTGCCACTTCTTCTACACCATTCTCCCCAACTGTATCAAAGATGAGGTCTGCCAGGTTGGCAAACCTAGAACCCTGCATGAGCTTTTCCACTTAGCTCAGGAGATTGACACACACTACTGGGAACACAAAGGGGAGGTTCAGCAGTCCAGTAAGCACCAAGGGTTGTTCTCTGGTAACAAGTCAACTCCCAACCCCAGTCACAACACCCAGTCCAAGCCCAGTCAAGAGAAATCCAAGACTGGCAATAATTCTGGAAATGGCAACTCCAGTAGCTAGCCCTTGTCCAAACCCACCTCAACCAGTCAGACCAGCTCTAACACACCCAAGCTGGACTAAAGCAAGCTGGGAAAAGACAGCAAGCTGACACCAGAGGAGTGCAAATGCCATAGAGACAACAACCTCTGCATGTTTTGTGGGGGCACTGGACATTTCACAGATAAGTGTCCCAAGAAAGCCAGGAAAGCCAAAGCTCACACTGCAGCCACTACTGAGGCAGCACCAGCCTCAACCTTGGGCTCTGCCCCTGAGGCAAAAAAATAGGTAGCAGCTCTCAGGACTCCACACAGACTGAGAGCTGTGTTGACTCTGGCTATGCACTCATGGAGGCTCATCTCAATGCATCTGCTCTTTCCAATCCCAATTCATTAACTCCCCATGTTTCTATTGTCAGTCACAGTTTGCCCCAGTTCTGTACTCTAGTGGACTCTGGTTCCACACATAGCATCATAGATAAAGAATTTGTTAATCAACACTTGTTTGCCCCTTACTCCATGTCCCCTATCCAACTCTGGCTCTTTGATGGGTCATCAAGTTTCATTATCACTCAAGAAGTAGATCTCTCAGTTCAATTTGCAACTGGTGATGTCACCCTGGTCACCCTGTTTTTAGCCCCATTGGATTCTGGATGGAAGATAGTCCTTGGACATGACTGGCTCACCCACTACAATCCATTGATTGATTGGGTACTGAGCAGTCTAACTTTCTGGACATCTACAGGAGGAATGCCAATCCTGTCAACAACCCCTTCCACACAAGTCTTAACCAGTCTTCCCAATCCCAGTCTGCCTGACCAACCCAATCCTGGTCCTGCACCATCTGCACCATCTGTCAACTCACTGGTTTGCACCCCCCTGAAGGCTTCCCCTATCACCTTGATCAATGCAGCTGCATATGTATGTGCTTGCAAGCTAGAGGGATCCACCCAATTCCAGCTTCATCTATGCCCACTGGACCTGGCTGGTGTACCAGAGGACTACCATGACTTTGCTGATGTCTTTAGTGAAGCCAAGGTGTCTACTCTCCCCCCACACTGGGAGTATGACCTTAAGATCAAACTGACAAAGGGTACTACACCACCCATTGGAACTATCTACTTGCTATCTCTGGTCGAGCTGTGAGCTCTCTGGATATTCATCAACAAAAACATGACTACCAGTTTCATCTGGCCCACTTCTTCCCCCTACACTGCACTGGTCCTCTTTGTAAAGAAGAAGGATGGTTCAGTCCATCACCAATAGCTTATTAACAAGCCCAGCTTTATGTTCATTACCCCAGACTGGCCTTGTGTATTTAACCCCTGTACATACTTCATAGCACTCCAGTCAGAATATCAATTTAGTATTACCCTCAACTCCATACTACACTCTGAGTCTACTCTATAACTAAGGCTGAGCCTTAGGCTATCCCCAGCCCCTGTCTTGGACCTCTCCCCAGCTTGCATAAGGGTACAGCACATAAGCTGAGACCAAGGGAGGTAGACCCAACCCTGGACCAGCTTCCCCCTGTGTGTGCTCCAAGACCAGTTGGTTTCCCATGCTACTGGTCTTATTCCCATGCTCCCAGTCTTAAGTCCAGTCCTCCAGACTTGACCCCTGACCTCTGGCCTTAACTCCAGTCCAACCAGACTTGGCCCCTGTCTCCCAGCCTTGACTTTGGTCACCCAGACTTAGCCCCTGTCACCCAGTCTTGAAGCCCAGTCACCTGAGGGTAAACCCATACTTAACATTTTCATACTTTAGAACCAGAACCAGGCAATGACATTTGCAGGTATACATGTACAAGAAGAAACACTATACTATGCACATGACTTCAGGCCTGGGACCCAGCAGAACTGGCACCAGTCTGACCACCTGACTCAGACCAGGACTGGCCTTCCTCTTCCTCCTCCCTCAGCTCTTCATCAAGCCCCTTGACATCCCTGTCCTCCTCATTGGTGGTGTCCTGGTCTGAAGGCACATCCAATGCCAGGAATTTGAAGTGTTCTTCAACATAGGTTTCATAGGACCAGATAGATGAACCAGTAAAAATTCCTCAAAACCTCCTTCTGGGCCACTGCAAGGCTGGCCACATTGTCAGCAACATGCTCCACCACCCTGATCAGGTGCTCCATCTGATCACTGGTAACAGGACTGGCCCCAGCCTCCTCACTGGTCTTCTTCAATGGTCCTGCAACCATCTTGACCTCCTCATTGTCAACTCCCTCTATCACCTTGGTCAACAGTTTCCATGACCTCTTCTTCTTCTTGCCAGTGTGAGGGGACATCATGTCAGCCTTCCTCTTACCCTTGTCAACACCTGGGCTGGCTCCCTGACCAGTCTCACCCTCAACCAGCCACTGGCAGTGCTCTTTGAGCTCATTGCACTGGTTGCATGCCATGTGCTGCTTCTTGCTGTTGGTGCTGCACAGGCAGGTCATGTTGGTCCTGACACAACAAAGGCAGCTGGTAGAGTGTTAGTCAAAAATACCAGTAATAATCATAATAACACTCACTAAGGGCTCATCACCTCAACATTTGACCTGGCCCCAGTTGAACTACCTACCAGGGCATCCACCCACTGGCTCTCAGCTGCCTTCCTGGCTTCCTCAGCCTTGTGTGAAGCCTCTGCTCTTTGTGCCTCAGCCTCTGTGCATGCCCTCTCTTCCTCAAGCCAGGCTTGCTCCTGCCTCTCTGCCTCTAACCAGGCTTCCTCCTGCACCCTTTGCCTTGCACCTCTTGTGCTCAGCCAACTTTCCCCAGATTGCCTGGTCATCATTGTTGCTGCCCACCTGCAGCTCTTCACTTATAACTCAGCCAGCCCAGGAAGTGCTCTGGCTGTATGAAAGGATATATTTAGTAGCTGTATTTGGCACACATCAATAATGATCTTTGGAGAGAATAGGGACAGGCTTATGATTGACAATGACAAGAAAAAGTCTATAGCTCTGTAACCATGATGCCAGCTCCCATTCATTGTGGGAGTTGAAGGGGTAGTACAGATTTGATTCCCATAGGTTGCTGAACTGGTCACCATTAAATTTGTCCATAAATGCTGGGCCAAGTCCAAACATTTTAGCTGTGCTCTCAAAGTCATCTGTGGTTGGCCCTGAATGTCAAATTCCATATGAACAAAATCTGGGTAATTGTGAGTTGCACAGTCATTGGGGTTGGTACTCATCAGGACATCTTCTAAATTTGTTGGGTGTTGAGAGTTACAAATGTTCAAGCTCAAAGGTTGGAGAGACTCCTGATGGCAATTCTTGGTAGCAAAGGCATGTAGTGTATGGAGAATATAGTCCACATGTGGGAATGCAGTTAGCTTGTTGCTTCTCTCCTTTGTACTCCCACTTGTGTCTCAAGGCTCAGCTGAGCTGCCCACTAGTATCTCTTTTCTTTGCTATGCCCAAACCAGCTAACAACCCTCTTTTAGCAGTCCAACCAGATTTCTCTTCTGAGAAATATCATCAAGCCTGAGAATGCCTCATAAATGACAATGTCAACCACAATGTGGCAGCAACCTAGCTAGCCCTCTACTGGGTGCTAAACAACAACTTAGAAAAAGAAGAGTGGGATTGTCAAGTCCTCCTAGAACAACAAGAAGCCATGGCAAAGGCAAGGCTAGAAGAAGAAGAGCAAGAGAGACAACAGACCAAGTGTGAGAGAGAATGAGAGCAAGTGCTACAAGAAGTGAAGAAGAAGTACCATCGCAAATATGCCACAGTCCCCCAGGATGCTGTAGTCCCTGCAGATCCCATCATCATCCCTTCCCAGATCACAGCACAAAGTCTCCACAAAGCAGATTTTGTCAAGCTCTACTATTTCACAAACAAAGGCCTATGTGATGCAGAGCTGACCATCTGCTCAACAGATGATGATGCCCTAACCCTCCTCCAGACAGGAGAAGGACTACACTCCTTCATACCTCTAGCATCAGCCCAAGCAAAAGGCACAGTCACCAAAGATGAAGACCTTACCTGGGAAGAATTCTCAGAAGCTGCACACAGGCTAACCAATGCTATGAAAGAGAACAACTGGGAGGCTGACAACATCAGCAATCACATCAAATTCTGGCTGGTGCTCAAAAACCACCCCTGGAGGCATGGGCACTGTGAAATAAGCAAGAGAGCCTTGCTTGTCTACCAAGCCAGAGTATGCAGAAGATGGCACAACACACTTGAAGCAATTAAAGACAAAGTCTTCTCAGCTATCACTTCAAACCAGAGAGCATGGGAGTGGAACCCATTGATTGAGGACCAAGCTCAAAATGAACTAGATTAGAGAAACTGGCTATGACAAATGATGGGACTTACATACTGCCTTACTGTTTGTACATACTGCCACAAGAGAACATTTGAGAAGGAAGCAAACAAAAGAGAGAACTACACTATTGGATGAATGCAAACACATGGTGTCAGCAAGGCATGGCCTTACTAAGTATTGTGTAAGTGTGAACAAGCAAGCAAAGGAAAAGTCTGAGATGACTAATCATCCCTAAAGCGTAACCCTAACCAGAGGGTAGATATATATAGGCAAGTAGGAAATGCAGAAGTGGAAAGTCTACCAGTCATTATACTATCCCCTCCTAAGGCCTGACTTCCATGTGAGACCAGATAGGATGAATGGTAGTAAACAGCTCTGGCATGGGTGTGAACAAGCTGTCAAAGCTTTCTGATGAAAGGAGAGATAATTTACAGAGGGCCCCCAGGTGGGATTGATAAAAGTCCTTGATTGCCAACTGCAAATTCTTCAAGGCAGAGGCTGGCTCCCAAGTATGATCTTCTTCAGGGTATCCCCTCCAATGGATGAGGAATTGACAAGCTCCTTGCTTCAAATGGGAGTCAACAACATACTCAACCTCATATTCAACATCTCCTTCATCAGTAACCCTCTGTGGTCCTGGCCTGTTAACAGGTTGCCCATTGAGAGCACTGAGATAGGGTTTAACCCATGAGACATTCAAAACCAGGTGAATCCTCATGTCACACAGCAACTTTAACTTAGGAGCATTCAGGAGCACTTCCAGAACTTCATATGGTCCAATCCATTCTTTGGAAAGCTTATGGCTCTGCCATTCTTTCAGGGACAGATGGTCTGTAGCTAGCCAGACCTGAGATCCAATGGAATAAGAAGGGGCAGTGGAGCAGCATCTATCTGCTTGCTGCTTCTGCCAAGAGCACACTTTGGCAAGGTTTGCTTTTACATCTTGGAACACCTGGAACCAAGATTTGGTGACTTTCTCTGCTGCTTCTACCTTCAAAGTCATCAAATCAATGGCCATCCTAGGTCTATAGGAGTGGGTAACTTCAAAGGGGCACTTGCCAATAGAAGTAGAGGCAGAGTTGTTGTACACAAACTGAGCCAATGGTAGCCACTCTTCCCAGTGAGCCTGTTGCTGGTTGGCATACATCCATAAATACTGCTGAATCTCATGGTTCAACCACTCTGTTTGTCTGTCCATTTGCAGGTGGAATGCCATAGAGAGTTTCTGCTGTACTGCAACATTTTAAATAACTCCTTCATAAAACCAGAGGCAAACTGAGGACCTTGGTCTGATGCAACAGAGTCTGGAAGTCCATGGACATCTGCCAGGTAAAGATGAGCTGTGCTAGCAGCTGTTTCTTCCACAGTGCAGGGAATGAACTCCACTTCCTTAGAGAACCTGTCAATGACAACTAGGACATGGGATTTTCCAGAAGATCCCCTGACTCTAAGATCCATAAAATTGGTTGTTAACTCTCTCCAAGGCCTATTAGGGATAGGTAAAGGTTTGAGTTCTCCTGCAGGCAGCCTATTTCCAGACTTGCTGGCTTGGCATGTTTGACAGTGCTTTATGTATTCTTCTACATCATGTTTCAAGGTAGACCACATGAACCAGTGTGTGATCAACTCCTGAGTTCCTTTTACACTGTGATGTCCCACTAGGGGTGAATTGTGAAGAGCATTAAGCAGCTTCCTTCTGAGTGTACTAGGCACCCAGACCTTCTCCCCATCATAATGAAGACTGCTTCAGAGCTCACATCCAGCAGGGACTCTTTTGGCTTTAGCAGATTTGATCTGCAAATCTTCCATGAAGGGATTTTCTAGTTTTACTGAATGGACCTGGTTTGGATTTATAAATAGGGACTCTTCTGACTTTGTCCTTTCCTTTCCTTCCACAAAGTCCTCTTGTCTTGACAGGGCATCTGACCTTCCCATTGTGACTCTGGGTTTATGTACTATAACACAGTTAAACTGACTAAAGTACTGCACCCAATGTGCCTGGCATGGTTGAAGCTTCTGAGCAGTCATGAACCACTTGAGGTTATGGTAGTCTGTCCAAATTTCAAACTGGTATGGGGTAGCCTTGAGGTAATGCCACCATTGCTCTAGTGCACAAATAATGGCCAGCATTTCTTTGTCATGAACTGTGTAGTTAAGTTTGGTCCCAGATAGGGAGTGACTAGAGTAGGTGACTGGTCTCCAGACACTGTCATTGCATTCTACAGAGAGCACTGCTCCAGTGGCATAGTCTGAAGCATCTGTTTCTAACCAAAACCTCCAATCTTGATCAGGGAACATAAGGATAGGAGCAGTAGTAAAGGCTTCTTTTAGCATATCAAACACCATTCAACATTGTCATTCCAAATGAACAGAGTCTTTCTTCATGAGGTTGTTCAGGGGCTTCGCAATCTGCACAAAATCCTTAATGAAGCATTGGTAAAAGTTCACAAGGCTGAGGAAGCTGCAAACTCCATGAATATTTGTAGGTACAGGCCAATCTTGCACAGCAGAGATCTTGGCAGGGTCAATACATACTCCATTAATGCCAAGGATCATTCCTAGAAAGTCCACCTCTTGTTGCCTGAAGATACACTTCTGTGGTTTGACAAACAAGTCATTTATCTTAAGCCTTCTAAGCACCTCCAGCATGATCCTGTTCCTCCTGATTGTCTGTTTTTGTAAATATCATTAAGTCATTGATGTAGACAACAAGCACATCTTCCATATTGCCAAATATATTGTTCATCATGTTCTGGGATGTGGTGGGCAAGTTGCAAAGCCCAAAGAACATGACTAAGGGCTCAAAGGCACTGCAATGGCACATGAAAGCAGCTTTCCACTCATCACCTTCTTTGATCCTGACATGGTTGTAACCCCAGCAAAGATCCATCTTCATGAAGAGTTTGCAACCTTTCAACTTGTCCACAAGCTGAGATATTAAAGGGAGCAGATATGAGTTTTTGACAGTATGCTCATTTAAATAATGATAGTCCTGGACCATACACTTCTTGCCATCCTTTTTAGGGACAAAGATCATGGGAGATGTTTTCAGTGGTTTACTAGGCTGAATATAACCCTTCTTGAGTTGTCCATCAACAAAGTCACTGGCTTCTCATTGCTCATCAGGGGAGAGAGGGATCAACCTTCCCTTCTTTGGTACAAATCAACTCCTTTAGTTCTATAGTATGGTCCCAAGGTTTCCTAAGTGGCATGTGCTCAGATTCCTTTTCCAAGAAGACTGATAAATATTTGTGGTATGCCTTTGGAACAAGTTCCTCAGGGGTTTTATCTGTTTTTGGTTTGTCCATTCCCAGACTCTGGATCCAAGAGATGTAAGACTCCAAGGCTTCCTGTTTGAGTGTCTCCACTTCATGAACAAACAAGGCCTTGGGTGCTAGCTATCAGCATCTAGCTGGGCATCTACCCATTTTGACCTTGCTGGTCTGCCAATCTATCAGCAGGTTGTGCTGATGTAACAAGGTATGTCCTAGGATCATGGTACTACCTCCTAGATCAGTTATCTCAGCAAGAAGTTCCTTGTGATGGTCAAGGTATTGAACCTGAAGGTGAGCCTGATGTGTAATCCTTCCAGTGGAATTAGGTGAACCATCAATATTAAATACTTCTACCACTCTTGGCAGTGCTATCTTTGGAATCTGGTTCCTTTCAACAAAACCTCTATCTATAAATACTCCAGTAGCACTGCTATTGAGCAGCACATTGACCCTGAATGCTGGACTGGCATTTGTGCACAAAACTAAAGGGACCTCCACAGAATCTTTCAAGTTCAGCATGTGTCATGTTTCTGTCATAACCATGCCTTGACCCTGGCCAGACTTGGTTTTGCAGTGCATGTCACTTCAGCTGAACCCTGCCCAGTCATGTCCCTGGTCTGCCCTGTCCTGGTCTCCATTACCTTGGTCATACCTTATTAATACTAGCCTTACCAATCAGCTTAGCAATCTTTGCAAGACTGGCATTACTGGTCTCTGTACTATAGCTACTTCTAGTATATAAACTCTTAGATACTCAGCCTGTAGTCTCCAGTCTGAAATCAACTAAGTTCACTCTGATAACCCCACCTTGGCCTCAGACTCAGACTGTGACCCATGCAAGGGAATAGCACTGCATCATCAGTCACTAAGTCCAATCAGTCAACCTTCTGTATCCCTGCCTCTTCCCCTGACCCTGACTCCTTGGCCTCATGCCAGCTTAGGTCTCCAATCTGGCCTCAAACCTGGACAGCTTGAACTTGACAGTATTTCAGACTTGCCACTTGTGTGGGTCTAATAGATCATGGCCACTAAAACTCACTTTCAACCTCCCTGCAGCTGCTCTACCACCAGCCCCCATGACCTGGTCACTGATGCCAAAAGTCAGCTTGACCATTTACATATGAAAGATAACCAGTGCATCAATAAATACATAGTTGATTTTAATCAGCTTGCTTCACAAGTCCAAGGCTACAGTGATGGTGTGCTGTGCCATCATTTCTATAGTAGACTCCCAGACCCAATCAAGGATGAAGTCTGTTGGGTTGGCAAACCCCAGACTCTACATGAGCTCTGCCACCTCACCCAGGAAATAGATGTGCACTATTGGGAGCACAAGGAAGAAATCCAATGGGCAAGTAAGCATCAGGGCTCATCTGCCTCCAACAACAATAAGTCTGGAGGCTCCAGTAACAACAATGAGCCCAAGACCAGTCAAGAGAAAGCCAAGACTGGCAGTAACAACAACTCCAGTTCCTCCCCTAAGCC